ATATTATATACCTATATATATATGTTTGTGTATATATATATCATATATATATGTATGTATATATATATGTATATATACATATATATATATATATACACATATATATATAGATATAGTATATTTATTCAGTAAAGTCCATTGCAGCATATGGCTAAAATGCGTGACTGAATTTAAAATTACAAAAGTATATAAATCTAAGAATAATCGGCAATTAAAAAAATCCAAAGCATTAATTATTATAAATATAGTGCGATATTAAATATCAAAAATTACATTAGAAATAATAAATAAAAACAGAAAAAATGGCGGCAAAATACAGAGACAATAGTAAAAAAAAGTCAAATTACACTATCAGTAATTATTAGTTTTATTTTTTGCTGTCAATGGAATGTATACTGTTTTTTTTTATTTCTGTACTTTTTAATAAAGTCATTATAAACGTGGTTTCTTGTTTCAGTACGTAATGAAATACCGTATGGCAAGGGAAGCCATGGAATTAGTGGTAAGTTTCTCTTTATCATTATTATTAATATTCTTTTATATTTCAGTATCGTTATTGGTATGTGTTGTATAAACCTAATAAATATGAATATTATTTTGTCAATAAATGTTTTATTGTTTTTCACTCTTACTATTATTATCATCATTATAATCGTTGCTCTTGCTCAATATATACAGTATCTGTGTATGTGTAAGTCTGTTTGAATGGATTTATATGGCTAAATGTTTATTAACATTAACATTACCAGTTTTGTTTAAGTATTATTAATGTTTTTCATCAATCTTTTATGTGTAAAAATGTATTTTTAAAAATTTCATTTACTTTGTATTTTACAATAATTTAAACTTGAACTTGTTACTTTTTAGGGCACCATACTTGAATGGGCTGATTTTGACGCGGAGGCGGATTGTGAGACACTGAAGGGAGCGATGCGAGGTATTGGAACGGACGAAGATGAAATCACTGAAGTATTGGCCAATCGCACCAACACACAACGCCAGCTTATCAAACATACATTTACCTCCTGCTACGGAAAGGTAGTGGAAAATATTATGATGGGTACATTTTTAAAGAAAGAAAAATGGGTGCACCGTGTTCATTCAGCGAACACATACATAAATTGAAATTTGCTACACCTGCAAAGAGTCTGACTATTCCACACCTATAACTACAGTTTTAATATTAATGCTTGCGGAACACCACGCAGATAGTTCTGAAAAGAACTGTTGTTGTTGGTTGCAAACCTTCAAACAATTCATTTTTAATTTTATCATATCGCAGGATCTAACAGAGGAGTTGAAGGAGGAACTTCGAGGAAACTTTGAGGAGGTAGTGATGGCGCTGTTGGATCCACCTCCAGTCTACGACGCAAAGACACTTCGTCGAGCTATGAAGGTGACAAATTGTCATACTATATATCAGACTTCTGAATATTATATTTGTTTATGTTAATCTTTTCGTCCGTAGCATTATAGTGTTTAAAGCGCATGTATGTGGTTGCACGTATCACACTAATAGTAAATAAACATCCAGTTTAATAAAAAAAAAAAGGGGTTTTTTTTAAACAAACATGGTCTATGACTCCTTTGCCTCTCTTTAAGGTAAGAGGTTTTAACATGTAACATTTAATCTTTGGAGTCGTCTATGATTGTTGGCACGTTCAGGGGAGTACACTGTTGGGGATGTCTTGATGTCTGATGGCGCATGGTATTATACTGTTGCGTAATGAGCATTAGTGCTGACAATTGTTGGCGACTCCAAATTTAAATAAATTAATTAATCAATCAATCAATCAATCAATCAATCAATCAATCTATTTATTCATTTATTTATTTATTTGTTTATTTATTACTCAATCTGAAAATCAACTCCGAACTGCTTCTTTGGATGCCTCTGTAAATTATGTAATATGTAATTTGAGAATAAATGTTTCAAGAATAGGTGTGAAGTGCGTCCTCCAAATAATCATTACAAACACTATGCAAACAAAATAGGCGTTGTGGCTAAATATACACTGGTTTATATATACAGGATGTGTCACATAATATACATCCTGTATCTAATATATCAGTGTATAATAAATTTATGATCTATTCAGGGGTGGCACCATGATTTGCCCGATTGGAGTCCGATGTACCCAACAAGGGGGATGTCCCCGAAGAGAGAAATGTGGGCGTGGTCTGGCTTCGCTCAAAATCTCTCCTAAGTGTTCCAGGGGGCGAAGCCCTCGAAAAATTTGACAATTTAGGGGTTTCAACAGCTTACCGTATTTAATCGCTTTTAGCGTATACTAATGTAGAACATACATTATACAATTTTTGTCTCCGAGGAATTGTGATTCTTCTCCCCGACGTGGGAAGGAACTTGCTTTCCCTGACGGGGAGCCTGGCCCTCGATCCCCACTGGAGCCACTTCTGGATCTATTGCAGATACATGTGTATAATATTGCTTGAATTATAAAGATATTATGGCTTACACTAACCATTTATATATCGTAACGAAACTTCCTGTTCGTTTGTTTTCATAGGGACTAGGCACCGACGAGAAAACGATTATTGAAATAATGTGCACAAGAATGAACCAGGTAAACCACAATGTATGCCTCCAGATATATCACAAAGATTAGTTCGACCATTCGACTGTGTACAGCGTGAACTATTAACTTGACGTGTTTATCACAATTCATTAAGCGACATTGCAACGTAACGGTCTATGCATTGCGATACACCTATTATATATAATTGTAACTAAAATACATGTCAACCCATTATATACTTAATTTTTTTATGATGCGCCTTAAATTTTTATAGGAAATTGAAGGTATCAAAGAAGCTTACGCAGAAGGTAGGTTGCATAGCATCTTGATACTTAAAATTAAAACGTTTTTGAAATCAAAATGTATAACGTAGAGTCGTATGCAAAGTTTCCAGCTTTTTTCCGATTAACATGCATCTGAATTGTTGGTTGGTTTCATTTTGTACACACAACGTCATAACTTATGCAAATAATATAGGCATGTGCAATTTGAAATGGGCGGGGCTAATGCAGTAAGTTGTAATAATCTGTAACACCTACGATTATTATTATATTATTATTATTATGAATGAATTATATTATATATTAAAGACCAACTGATATTTTTTATCAGCTTTATTATATAATTCTTTGTAAGATTTAAGTGTACTCAATCAAATTATTTATTATTGATACAGTGTTCGAACGCGATCTTGCTGAAGATTTGGAAAACGAAACATCTGGTGACTTCAAATATCTAATGGTCTCAATTGCCAATGTGAGTCCATTTAATATTGGTAAAAACCACATTAGCCTATTGTCAATCTAACTAAAAAGATGGTAATTTAATAAATGTTTTATAGGCACCTAGGCAGTTATTGTGATATTATTTTAGGTTAATGCAATGTTGTTCACAATATGACGTTAAGCCGTTGGTATACCACGCGGGTCCACATGAAAATGAATGGTCTAAATTCTGGTAAAAAGTATCTAATGAAATAATCAACAGAAGATTTAGATGACTAGACAAATGAAGGTATGTATTCTGTTTTTCACGAGAACGACATATTTCATTTCTGATGTTTAGGCTGGCCGAGATGAAAGCGATGAAGTAGACGAAGATGCCGCCACCGAAGACGCACAGGAACTGTTTGATGTAAGCATAGTAACTTTCTTAGTAACAAAAGCCATATGATCCCATTTTATCAGGAGTTTGGAACATTAGTGGCAATCAAAGACCTACTGTAGTGAATGTGCCAAAATAAATGGTTTAAGATATTGAATTGTCTATTGTGTAGGCGCAGGGGCAAGCCTCGGAAATTTAGTCATTTAACTCACTCTTATTTAAATGGTTATTCAAAAAAAGTCTCTTGAGTTTTTTTGATAATTTTAATGTATTTGGAAGGGATTACATATGGCTCATTCAAGAATAAAAGTTTACAATAATTTCATAATTCGATTCGCTATTTAATTTTAGGCCGGCGAAGATCGATGGGGCACCGATGAGAGTTGTTTCAATCGTATCCTAGCTACAAGAAACTTTGAGCAACTGCGTTGTGTTTTTGATAAGTACAACGAGGTACGTTTTCCACAACATTAATCATCACCGTCGTCAGCATTATCAACAAACCTTCACCATAATCACCATCGTTATCATCATCATCATCACCACCACCGAAAATATCATCATCGCCATCATTATTATCATTATTATCGAGCCATTTCATTAGGCCTATCATTAATAAATCTGCATATTCATCAACCAGTACCACAGTCATCATTGCCATAATTCCGACTAATTGGTTGTTTGAGTGTCGTTAAATGTTAACTTAATCTGATGCCCTTTATTATTTTTTGTTCACTAATAGGTAGCTGGCTGTGACATCGAAGATTCCATTCGTGACGAAACATCCGGTAACTTGCAAGACGGATACCTTGCTATAGGTGGGTTTCCATCTAATAAAGCAAAATAAAGTAATTCGAGGTTTTTAATTACATATTTCAATAATTTTGATATTGAATTAAAATTGAATGATCTTAGGGTTGATATAGTAGCTATTCTTTTAAACAGTTGCTCGTGCCCGTAGTGTTGGAGAGTACTTTGCCGAACGTGCATATGATGCCATCCACGGACCAGCCACCGACGACGACCAACTCATCAGAGTGATAGTCACAAGATCAGAGGTAAAACAACAACAAATATATAAAAAAAATACACGGCTACGGTCATGTACAATACAGTACTTCATAACTAACACACCATCATGGATATACACATTAAAATTAATATTCTGGTTATTTATACGTTTGTCGTTTCAAACAGTTATTTTATAGAAACGAAAGTAGCATCAGCTAAATTCTAGTGGAGCGGAGTTATGTACGGTAAATGTTGTATGCCGGTAATACAGTCATATTTTTGCTTTCTTTTTAGATCGATCTAAAACGAATCAAGGCAGCATTTTTCGTGAAATACGAGAAAGGCCTGGCAACATTTGTCGAAGAAGATACCAGTGGCGACTACAAGAAAATGTTGGTTGCCTTGGTTAAGGGCGATACCGATGACGAGTAAACCTTCTAGCTCCCGCTAATATTACTATTTGATAATGCTTTAGAATAGTAGTTAGGCCTATCTAGTAATATGAATTTTATATTGTGATTTTAAAACAGGAACTCTAATCACTTGATATGATTGATTTGATCTGATTTTACAAATTAAAATTTGGTGTTAATAAAAATTGGAAAATTGAATATAATCGTCACAATGACATATAGCGCCTCGGAAGTGTTGATGAAAAATGAAACGCATCCGTTCATATACTACCAGTCATTACATAGTGTATTCAGATTTCTTAACGTATATACATACTTAAATGTATCTCAGTTGAGAGAAACCAGGTATTTTCATCAAAAACATAAGTATATCAATATCATCAATCATCAATAATGGATTGTTATTTTAACACGGTGTATATTTTATGTGGCAATGGTTATATTATATTTGGTTTTTCATAAAATGTATATTTAGAAATCTGTGGTTGTTATTGATAGTAATAAATAAATAAACAATCATTGGTGTATGGAGATGCATTATATTATTAAGATTACGACAAGTGAACCATGAGGGCGCTCTAAAATCTCTACATATTAATGAAAGGATAAACAATTATTCACACTATTAAACATTTAATGTCAATAAAATTGACTTTATAATAAATCAATAATGTCATAAATTTTACAAACACGAATATTTCAATATTGAAACGCTAATAACATCATCTATGACGAAAATAAAGTTCAGTCATGTGGATATCCTAATAAAATCGATAACTGTCTTTTGTCTGGAGAAAAAAAAGTAGTGAGAACAGAACATCTGCTTCGTTAAGACAGTGAAACACAAGTGAATATAGCAGACGATACCTGTAATAGCGTTGCAATTTCTACGTCTTTTAGAACGTTCTTTTGCCAAATTTTGATCTCTGTAATTTACTAAATTTTGTCTTGCTAAAGTTTATTGAACAAAATCGACTTGCTTTCAAGTTTTTGAAGACCATTTATGAATGGATTTTAAAAAGTTGCTTCATCTTGTTTTTCTTGTAAGTATACCAGTTACCTGTTCATAAAATCTACTTTCTGTCGTTGAATTAATCACTTTATGTAAGTAATGGTAGTTTGTGTACATTAAAACTTTCAAAACTTCAAATTTACATCGACTTCAATATTGCGTTTGTATATCAAATCTGTCTGCTAGATGTATTTATGCATATTAAATAAAGTATTAGTTGTATGTGATGGTAACCTAAATAATTTTCTATATTTCAAAACTCATTCCAGCATCCATCACTTATTTCTCTAAAAGATTCAATGTCTTATACTATCAGCCGATAAAAGTCTCCTAACGCCAAACTATTTCATTATCATTCTTACATCATGATAATAACTAATGATCCGATACTGATGATGATGATGATGATGATGATGATGATGAAATGATAAGGATAATAATGATGATGAGTTGAATTTAACTGAATTGAAATACATAGTAAAAACAAGTCATTTAAAACAATAAAAACGTTGATAGTAATTGTTATTGTCGTGATGGAATAGACAATAACTGGATTTTGAGTAGTTGCACACGTATTCTTTTTCCATTATTCGATAAACCAGAGCTCCTCCCACCTGAAAAGCTTGATTCCTAGATGGCAGAAAATGAGCTTTCTCAATTTTTGAGGTGTATTTTAATGACTTTTAATTTCTTCAAAATTCAAGGTTTTCCCTCTCTTGAAAACGGTCAGGTAATTAAACTTTCTCATTTACAGTAAATAGGCATATTATGTGTATATACATTAAAAAAATTTGAGTAGTTCCATACATGTTCCTTTTTCCATTAATCGATGAGCCTCAACGAGAAAGTGGGGTCAGCGGGTCCTCCCCCGGGTAATTTGATTCCTAGATGGCGTGGAAATAATGAGCTTTCTGGAATTATGAGGTGTGCTTTAATGACTGTTAAGTTCTTCAAAATTCAAGGTTTTCCCCTCTAAAAATGGTCAGGTAAATTTTTCTCATTTTTTATTACAGTAAATAGGCCTATCATGTGTGTACCGGTATAGGTCTATACAGGGGGGGGGGGGGGTAGTAGTTGCATACATGTTCCTTTTTCCATTAATCGATAAGCCTCAACGAGAAAGTGGGGTCAGCGGGTCCTCCCCCGGGTAATTTGATTCCTAGATGGCGTGGAAATAATGAGCTTTCTGGAATTATGAGGTGTGTTTTAATGACTGTTAAGTTCTTCAAAATTCAAGGTTTTCCCCTCTAAAAATGGTCAGGTAAATTTTTCTCATTTTTTATTACAGTAAATAGGCCTATCATGTGTGTACCGGTATACATACGGGGGGGGGGGGGGACAGTATACGGGGGGGGGGGGTACAGTAGTTGCATACGTATTCTTTTTTCCATGAATCAATGAACCCCAAAAAGAAGGGAGTGTAATTCTCCCATTATAACAAAAGAAAATCAGCTCAAGGTTCCAGTAAAGGTAGATCTAGATTTTTTTTTTTTTTTTTTTTTTTTGCATAACCCTCAGATCCTCTAATGCTTCGTGCGGTCTAAGAGATTGATGAAGCAAGAAGCAATCAAATGATATCAACTACCCAACTAAACACTTCACGTTATAATAGCGTTATCGTTACATATAGTGAAATGAAATGCAGTTAGGTGTTTAAAACTGTTTTTGTAAAAACTTAAATACTTTTTTATATCGTATTTTCCTAATAAAATAACGTCACAAACGTTTCTGTAACGCTGAATAAACGTTATTATATGACGTACTCTGACCACAACACTTAAAACGTTCACAAATGTTACAATAACATTCAGTTTTTGCTGGAAAATTTAAAATACACTAGGCCTATACATTTAAGTTAATATTTTTTGGTTCGCCTTTTATCTTTATTACCACTGAACTGTAGTTGCCATGGAAATTGTATCTTAATTAAGTGTATCTGTATCTGTACGTATAGGTCGATGTTTATGAATATGAACGTTGTTAATATAATTTTACTTACCATCAATATTACTTAATTAAATATTATTGTTATATAATTTTATTATATTTTGATAGTTGTTCTAATGAAAGCATAATATTCTCAACTAACATATTTTGTATAGAGTATGATTTTTTAACTAATTTCAATATTTGTTTTTTATAAAGCTTGGTTTGGTAGGATTTCCTACATCTTCTGGTAAGTAATTTTTATTATTATTGGTTTTTTTTTATGAATGCTAAATTGAAAAATAGCCTGTAAGGTTGGATGAATCGAACACATGCAGGATCACTGGTGCACTGCAGCTCAAAATATATATAACATATACAAAGAGAAAAAAAAACTTTGACGGTTGAAAGGAAAGATGTGCACCCGCCTCTTGAACGCTTCATGAACTGAGATGGTGATATGAGGCAGCCGGTTCCAAGTTTGTTCTCGATTGTTGCAGTGTTCAAAAACCCCTCTTTTCTATAGAACATCTAAATAGATATTGAACAGATTCTATTAATAGAAAATCTATAAACTACTGCTATATAATTTTAATATTTATTTATTTAAACAATGTTTAATGTTTGGAAACCGCTTATTGATTCCGTTCACATTTGAGTTGTTTTTGTTTTCTCTTGGTGTATTCTGTTACAATATACCTTTTTTTCTTGTTTTCTTTTTATTGCTTTATTGAGAGAAATAAATGCATGTTTTTACATTTTTAAATAGAAGATATATTGAAGAAAATTTATGCAAAAATATCAATCCCTAAATTTAACTGAAAAGTATATTACAAGTATTTTGAAATACAAATCTTAATAATAAACTATTGATTTTGTTATCTTTGGAAGCTGTTTTCTCAAACCTATATGGCTGATATCCAATGAATGAAATATTCGTAATTTCGACAATTCTCAACCAACTTCCATCAAATAAACACTGTTTTAAAAGAAAAATTCAGGAAAAATTGGTTTTGACAGAGCAGGTCACACATAGAATAAAACATTCGCCTCCATCATTGGTCTTTCACTTTTGTTTTTAAACAATTGTCAAAACTACAACTATGATCTTGTACGTTCCAGCGATCTATCATGATATTCATTAGTCCGATCAATACTTAATAAATACATTTTATTGATTACGAGTAGTTACCTGTGTTAGTTTGGTACACACTCCAAGTATAAATCAATAAATGGAAAGACGTACTAAACCTACCCAGACGTTAGAATAACGATGTGTAGAGTTTACGTGCCAGAAAAAACTCGATATGAGAAATAACTCAATAATGACAATAATAATAATAGGAGCCATATAATTCTGAGGAGTAAATACAATGTAAGCTCAACATTACTACAATAATTTATTTGGTCGTAACTTATTCACAGAATGTGTATACCACGTTGAGACTTAAATTGCATTATTGCATTGCGTCATGATATGTACCAAATTTGTTATTATTATTATCATTATTAAATTATTACTATCAGTATTATTATAATTATTATTATTATTATTATTATTATTATTATTATTATTATTATCGTTATCGTAATCACTCATTATGGTTAATATTATAATTATAGATATCATTATCACTTGTATTGCTATTAATATTACTATTTGTATTATAGAATATTGATTTACATACTTTTTGAACAAAATGTTTAAGCTGTACTTATCTGACTCTTCGAAAAATGTCAGGTTTAATAACAGGAATTTTGCCAACTTCGTCTATCCATGACTACTGTACTAAAACGTTTCAGAATAGCGCCCACTATGTCCTATACCATTTCCAATCACCATCTCCACACCACACCTCCCCATCGATAACTGGCTATTAGTAAATTAGACCCTTGATTCTTGATGTTAATACAGCTTTTTATTGCATTCCACGTCTTCCTAAACTATAGCGGCATCCCAATCTGATTTTTTCATAGTAATTTACTGCGGATTGATAGTGCTATGTACTACGTATATGTATAGGTATAATTTTTGACCTACCTGACGTGGAAATGTACCGAATACTCAGTACATTTGAAAACAACTGCGAAAAAAATCGCAAGTTGTTCTCGGGTGGGACTCGAACCCACGATCTCCAGATCGTCCACGTCAGGTAGGGCAAAAATTACACCTATACATGTTTCTCCTGACGCAAATCCAGCTATTGTCTATTATTCCATCACGACAATAACAATTACTACATAATATGGTTAATAGTGTTATGCCCTATAATGTGTACTTATTATATTATTCTGTTTTTTAAGCTGTGGATGAATGGGACGAATGGGGCGAGTGGGCGCCTTGTCCAGTAACGTGTGATGGTGGTGTAACAATTCGCGTAAGAGATTGCATGGGATCTTCGTGTTCAGATGACGGAAGTTTTGGATCTGAAACAAAGGCTTGCAAAACTGATGGATGCCCAGGTAAACCGTTTAAAACAGTCACACACATCCATATTGATATATGTGCACTGTTACACACCGTTTTTATTTCTTGTTGTAATTGAAAGTGGTAAAATTTTTAGTACTGTAAGTTGCTTCATAATTGGCAACAGTTTATTAAACCGAATTAAATGTAAAACATAAATGAAAAATACGCGAAAAGGTCAATAAAAAGTAATAACACAAAACACACGAAACACCTTTTCCGTTATAATTCTGTAAATTTACCTTTTATTAAATTCCCATTCTGTAAAAATAGTAGGATATTTTTGAAACCTAACTAAAAATGTTTCCAATATATTGTTTTTATGTGCAGTTGACGGTGGTTGGTCAAATTACACTGATTGGTCACCATGCAGTGTATCATGCACTGGTGGAATCCAAACGCGTAATCGCACTTGCACGAACCCTGCCCCAGAGAATGGTGGCGCCGATTGCGTAGGAGACTCAGGGGAAGAACAACGTTGCAATGAACAGGAATGTCCAAGTAAGTGGATGCAAATCTACCACAAAACGGTTTGTAGCAGGAATGAGTAAATGACATAACATAAAAGTACCTATTTTAGTTGTATAATAAAAAGGCGAGTATCATACCATTAGACTATAAAGACCTACATGGTATAAGCTCAAATATATCTCTGGGCAATCCCTTTCATACTATTGACTATTGATGATCATAAATACTGTATAGTTGAGCTGTGGTTACGGTTGTGTTTACGGTGCTACGCAGCTAACCTAATTTAATACGGTGCTACTACAATAACAGCTGCGAACTAAAATAACATTGTGTGAACGTTTGAACAGTATGACAGAAAGTGTCTTGTGGTTAGATCTCCACGTATATCCTGTATTTAAGTGGTCAAATAGGTATGGTACTCGCCTTGAAAGCGAGCGTTTGCATGTTCGAATACAACCAGAGACCCTTTTTTCATACAACTGAAATTCAGGAACTTTTCGTTGATGAGCTATGCTTGATACGATTATTATAATGTTCTAGGCCTATTTGAATACTGTTATATATAATTATGTATATATATATATACATATATATATATATATATATATATATATATATATATAAAATATATAGACAACGCTCTTGATATCATTCTGCTCACCGAAACATGGCTCCGTGAGAATGATTCTGCGATTATTGCAGCGTGTAAACCTGATGGGTTCCATTTTCATTCATTTCCAAGAGAAGGTAAGAGGGGTGGAGGTATTGGTGTGATGTCTAAGGTACGCACCAAATGCTGTAAACTTGATACCTTCAAGTGCTTTGAGGCTTTTTAAAATTGAATTCTCTAATCTCATTGAGAAATACATTCTTTCTCCAAATTGGATTATTACCGGTGATTTCAATATTCACTTTGATAAACCTGATAATCAACACACTAAATATATTATGGAAACATTGGAGTCTACCAATTTATTCCAGCTAATAAGTGAACCTACAAAACGACATGGACACATCTTAGATCTCTTAATTACTAATAGCCCTTCCTTAATCATAGAATTTCATGTACATCAGTACCATCTGTCAGATCATTTTATGCTGCATGCTCGAATTGATTTTTCCAGATCACCAAAGAGTAAAAAAGAAATTGCTTTTCGTAACTTTAAGAACGTCGATTCTTAGAAGAAGGGACGTTCTAAAATCAAAGTTATTTGAATCTTTTGGTGATTACCTTACTGGATCTATTGATACCGATGTTAATTCTTATGTATCTCTTTACAATCAGACTCTTTGTTCGCTTATGGATGAGTTGGCTCCTGAGAAACTAAAGATTGTTTCCATTAGATCAACTTCTCAGTGGTTCAACGATGACTGTAGATCTGCCAAGAAAAAATGTCGTATCCTTGAACGCAAGTGGATCAAATCCAAAACACCTGGAGATTTAGCTGCATTCAAGAAACAAATTGCAACATATCACACATTTCTTGGTGTCATTAGGACAACTTACATTCAGTCTAAAGTTGATAGCTGTGGCGATGACCAAATGCGTTTGTTTCTTTTAATTAACAGCCTTCAGGGAAAAAAGGAGACAATCTTTTACCATCAGATTCATCTGATAAGCAACTTGCACATGTTTTAACATGCTTTTTTTGTGAGAAAGTTGCAAGTCTTATGAATTCACTTCTTGGTCCATCTAGCAATGGAAGTCCATTACAACAAGATGTTCATCACCATGGAAATACTCTAATATTGCTTTTCTTTCTAAGCTGTTAGAGAAATGTGTTGCATCAGATCTCATTCGATTCCTTGATAGCAATACATGCTTTGACCCACTTCAATCTGCTTACAGAAAGCATCACAGTACGGAATCTGCGATATTATAGCCTGTCTCTTATACACATCTAGATGTTTTCTTCTATGCATAGTTTACACTGACCATATTTAAGTTTGTGTGTGTTTGATTTCTTTATGATTTCCCATTTCAAAGACTATTCTTTTTAATTCCCGTATGGTTTTAGAGAGTTCTGTTCTTTGTTTTTTGTTTTGTTATGTTTTTTGGGTATTTTTCGTGCCTGAATAACTTGATGTATGTCTATTCTATGTATGAGTTTTGTCCCTCGTGAGATTTTATGGTAGCTATATATAATATCAGTGCTATATCAGGCATTTACCTGGACCGTTCTCTTTATTCCTGCAGGTGCAAGTTTTGGGCCTTGTTGCTTGACCTTCTTTTTGATGATTTGCGAGTTGTGTCACTTGATGATTTATGTTTTTCGTGCAGCCAAGCTTATTTTCACTTTTTTTTTTTTTTAAATATTTTGTGAAGTGTCCGTGTGGGAAGTGTCTGTTTATCAGCTTTATGACTGTACCCCCAACGTTGGTTTTGACGATTTTACTGTATGGGCGTTAAACCATATTGCTTCTGTTTGTTCCTCTTGTTTTTGTTTGTGGAGCCGTCTTTGTTCTAGGAATGTTCCATGTTTTCTGTCTATCCACCATGCTGCAATGCTTGGTTGTACGTAGGTGCAGCTTTAATTAAGGCGTCGTTTGTTTCTTTTATTCTTAGTTGCCGGTGGTTGGTCAGAATGGGGGGACATGACGTACTGCAACACTGACTGTAATCAATTCCGCTATCGGGAATGTGACAACCCCGAACCTCAACATGGCGGAGAAGAATGCCCCGGAGAGTCTTCACAAAAATATCAGTGCAGTATATTGGATTGTCCAGGTACTAAAAATGTATTTTCCCCATCTACTCCCAGCCTGATAAATTGAACAGGAAGACTTTGTTCGAGCAAGTCAAAATGGAAGGCTCTCATTGCGATAAGAGGAACCAAACTCAAGGGCGGATCCAGAGATGTCAGAAAGGGGAGGGGGGCGAAATGGGGGGGGGGCGAAAGTGTGCCCGATCGAGGCAACACTGCCCTCGGGCGTCCGGACACTCCCCGCGATTTTTTTTTGTTTTTGTTTTTGTTTTCTAGACGCCAGAAAATAACCTCTGAGGCGTTTTGGGCGATCAATTATTTCGTTTTATTTCTTTATTTGTATTTTACTGGTAGTGCCTAGACCCTCCTGGCCCAAGGACTTTTATCCGTTATTTACCTGTGCCGCCGCCAGTGCTTGGCACAGGTTGCTTATCACATAAAACCTCTTGTGATGGCTGTAATGCTTCACATTTGCAAGATATAGCAATACAAATAATAAGTATTAATATATAGCAGTTCAGATAGTTTAACATACCTTAACTTGTACTACTCTAACATCTCGCTTCCATCCTTGGAGGTGTCGTTTTCGCTTACTCTACCTCTAAACGTTCCGAGCTTTCACTACCGAATGTGATTTTCCTAGCAAAACCGATGATCGTGTGATTGTGAGTCTCTTATCTATAAGATCCAATGCGGCCTCAGGCGGTAAGGCAAGCCTGCGCATGACTGGCTCTTCGCGATAAACTGCGGGTGGTGGACCTTTCCTGTCACTTGAATCTATTTTACCCCTCCTGTTATACTCCTACACTTTGGAGTCCTCCGAAGGTCTGCTTTAGCCACCATAACCAGAGACGTACATTATTTAAAAGGAACAACTATAGAAGGGGTAAGACGGAAAGCATATGTTGAATATTTCACTACCGTACTTCTTTAATGCTTTAGTAAAATGTAAATTATAATAAAATGGTGTTGAATATGACACTAATTTGTTGAATTGCCTCCTAAGTTGACGGCCAGTGGGGAGAGTGGTATGTACATGATTGTGACGTAAACTGCCATGGCCGAAAGACTCGTAGCTGCGATAACCCAGAACCATTACGTGGAGGCGAGTATTGCATTGGACCAGACACAGAGGAATATGGAAATTGTACTGATTACGACTGTGTTCAAGATGGTATGTTAAACTATATTTTTATCATTATTTTTTATTATAGGCCTACTGATAATATTGTTTAAAAAGATATGCTACCTTTAGATCAGGCTTTTTTCCCCTTAATTTTACCAGTTAACAAAACATTTGTAATATAGTATAAACATATATACACAGACAAATGATACTAATAAAGTGTTTGCATTTTTGTATTGTCACTATGGTAAGTTCCGATGTTTCTCTAAATACGTCACCCATATTGAAACTTGTTTATCTTACAGGTGCATGGAGTAGCTGGGACGAGTGGTCTGAATGTTCCAAAAGCTGCTCCTACGGTATCCAAACCCGCTACCGTTACTGCGACGAACCCTACCCGAGAAACGGCGGCGCTAACTGTCCCTTGGATGACCCTAACCAGTCGGAGCGCTCCTGCTATCTTCAGGCGTGCCCTCGTAAGTGATTCGTATTCCGGATTGTCAAAACTTTAAGAATAGGTCTGAAGTTTCACTTTCGTATTTTATGATTTAATCCGCCTGTTGTGATACGTTTGTCATCGTATCTAAATGTTAAATGATTGTTTACAATACCATTGATTTTTTTTTTGTAAAGAATCGAGCAGGTGACACATGTAGGCCAATAAGACAAAGACATTTAGCATGTAGAAAGTTGCAGGTAACCGGAAGAAGGAAATCCCAAATGAAACGACCTAGCATGATACAGTGCAGTCGGGAAAAAATGCTTTACAATGGCTCAAGTATTATATAACGAATGTATAATTCAATGTAATATATGCTTAATAAAGGTAAAAGTAGGTAGAAAGTTAGGAGAATAACCCATAACTTGCAGTGCCATTGTGCTGAATTGCATATGAGCGTGGTACGTAAAGCAGCCGTAACTACAAGTTCACATCATTCCACGACAGGGGCTGAAATGAACCATAACATCGCGGCAACATCCTGCTCTTCCGAAAAATGCAATGGGTTCTTTAAAGTGCACACGAGCCAAATGTATACACTGGACCTTAAGTCCTTATCCGAGAAGTCTTGGTTCTACGAACCGGACCCTGGGCGCGAGGAGCGGCTGGAACCAGCGCCGATGTTGTAATTAGCGGTGCCCTTGCTTTACCACTCGATCACTCTACTCGACAGATACGTTCCCTGATAAGACATTCTGTTGAAGTTGATTGCATTAGTATCTGTATTTTATAATTATTATTAATTAGTTTTCAAGTGCATTATAAGTGGGCCGATATATAGTACAAAACAAAAGTAAATAACGATACTGAACTTGTGTAAATGCGATTAATAAACGGCCGCCATGAATGATTATAAAGCATTGTCGTTTAGTTAGTGCTCTAGTCTGACAAAAGAGGGCGCTTTTTAAATTACACCAAGAGTGCATAACTTGTTCTTGAAAGTAGTTTCTAAATATTTTAATGCCTGTTTGAAATCAAATGTAATTCACTTCGTTTTCATTTGATAGAATTTGATTACATTCAATTTAATTTGATTTGATTATATTATTTTCAATTGAATCCAATTTATTTCAATTCAATTCAATTCACATCATATCAATTTACACCATGAACATTTTCCTTGAATAATTTTTAAATTTTTTATTTGTTTTTTTATTTGACAGAACCTTTAACTCATAGAAAGAAATACAAGCCAAAGCGGAATGATATCGATTATGCATTGATCCTGGCTATCATTTTCGGATCACTCGGAGGTCTAACTGTCATATTGCTAATAATACTCGGAGTCCGTCGAAAACAACTGAAGCGAATACGAGATAAATTAATGGTAAGATGTTCTACAGTGGTAAAATGATCTAAAGTCCGCCCTGGTAAGATATGATCTAAAGTCCGCCCTGGTAATATATGATCTAAAGTCCGCCCTGGTAAGATAATGAACTAAAGTCCGCCCTGGTAAGATGTAATCTAAAGTCCGCCCTGGTAAGAAATGATCTACAGTCCGCCCTGGTAAGATATGATCTACAGTCCGCCCTGGTAAGATAATGATCTAAAGTCCGCCCTGGTAATATATGATCAACAGTCCGCCCTGGTAATATATGATCTACAGCCCGCCTGATAAGATATGATCTACAGTCCGCACTGGATTTTGGAACTGAAAATCTTAGGTGGCCTCCTGCTTCTGTCTCCACAATTAAAGGGTTATCTTTGTGTTAAAAGATTGAAGGCTGTTTTAGAGTGTGGTCTGAAGTTAGAGAGGTCTTGGAATTAGAAGGGTCTCAAATCGAAGTGTGCACCTCGTCAGTGTAGAATATGCATTATCAAATCAAAATAGCAAAAGTAGCATACTGTACTCCCCGTAGCATCACCATAATATTGATATCTTGAACCATATGCATTAAAAGTTGTTAAATACATAGGCCATAATAACCTGTTTTAATCAAAAAATAAATTATTTATTCTATTTTTTAGGAGGATAGAGAGAAATCCGAATTGTACAAGGAAGCTGCGGAAATGAGCATTATCCCGGTAAGTTTATTTAAAATATTCATGATATATATTTTACGTAAATATGATAATCCTTTGCATAACATTTTTTATGCCAACTGAACAATCATTATTATAAATTACTTTTATTTAAATAATCACCTTATTATTCTAAAACAATAATCGCCAATTCATATGAACATGAAATTATGTTTAACTATTAAAAGGTTTAATAATACTATTCAAATATTATTTATAGGGTACTTATTTGTAACTAAAGCTACTGTATTTAATTAGTTGGTTTTTTAGTAGTTTGGTAGTTGGTAATTAATTTGACCGAGTCATAAGTAAATGATTAATCTATAGCATCTATGATTGACTGATGATGAATTAATGTGACCTACTATAACATGTAGGATAGTTAGTAATGGAATAATATTGTTAGGCATATTTATTGCAGGTAGGAAAACGAAGCGCCGCTGCTAAACTACGTCGCCAGAAAATGAAGGAGAAACTGAAGAAAGGCGGAGAAGGCGACAAGAAACCGTTGATCCAGAAGAGTGTATGTTATATAATATGCCAATGGAACATAACGCTATTGATGAATATACAAAAAATAAATAACATTAGTGATTTTGAGTTACAAACCACAGATTGATGATTACTAAATCCCTTCAATGATTTAAAGGTCACATTAAGAGCAGTATTTATCGGAAGGGATGATCATTGTTACTATACATATATAGGCCTATATTATATCTGTCTCTTATACACATCTAGATGTGTATAAGAGACAGATATATATATGAATATATCTATATATGTTACAGTTCATCGACACAGTATTCCAGTTTGAAGAGTTTGATACTCAACGACCCGAGAGCTCATTGTCGAGATCTAACAGCTCGCTCTCTCGGCCCAGATCAGCGGAATCTAGGCCCGGAACAGCTGCATTCGACCGCCCTCACTCCCGACAAGTCAGCTTCAATGAACGACCTAGTAGCCGGGTTGATACCCCGATGATGATGAAGGGTCTGGAACAGGTGTGTGATATATCAGATTATTATTCGGCTTAGTCACACTAAAAATAATGTACCACATACAAAGAAAATACAATATTTTTATTACATGATCTTAAAAATAAATATACACCTGTATATTTCAGAATCATTTGTCATAAAATTAAGTTTGAAATTATGTTATCGGGATTACATATAATCCATATTAATACACCAGGATTTCTTGCTGAATCACTGCCAACTGAATATATTCATTTTTAAGGTAATAATTTCTGTGTTCAGAAATGTAATATTTATTTTAAGAATTAATTAATAAAATAAATAAGGGAGAAATGATGTAATAATAATAGTCATAATCAAAATCATAATAATAATAATAATGATAATAATAATATTCATTTTCACTTGTCATATGTTTAGATTGATCAGCAGTTGCGTGAAATAGCTGGACAACAGAACGCAGGCAACAAAGATTCAAAATTAATTACTTTTGATTACCAACATGGAAATTCTAACTCTGGTAAACCAGAAGAAGCTGTGGCAAATATGACGTCACTTGAGGCAGCCCTGGGAATGACGCCTGATTCGAAACCAACTGGTGGTAAGAAATGATATAAATACGATTAATTCCAATCATAATAGCTAAAGGTTTGTTCCAAATTCTTCTTTTTAAGCATTGAATTATGGAACGTCATCTCATTATTTAACATTCATGAACAGCAAATTCGTTCGTAACCATCAGCATGCTTCATGTCTTACTTTTGTTTTGACACAGTTCAAATGAAAGTTTAAATTCAATTGCTATTTGTAATCACTTCAGCCCACCATCGAATGGTTTTGTGTATACCTTGTGCGGGGTGGAGAATATATAAAAATATATCATAGTCGGTGTTTTTAGCATGATACCAACATTTTCCTTTCAATTTATTCACCGGTAATCAATGCAATTTGGTGGTGTTTTTTTATATAAGGAATAGCAAGCCTTAGCGCTGTTATGGACGTTAAAGGCCGAGGAGGAAGGTTACCTAGCCTAGGAACAAGTACAACTATAAAGGGATTGCCACCACTACCACAGCACCTGGGAGCCCTGCCTCCTTTAAACACGTCAAAACAGCCTCCTACGGTGAACATTGAAACTGTTACGGCTCAGGTACCGCAGGAAAATTCAAGAATAGGTATCACTCTCAATGAAGCTATGGACGGTGGCAAAGGCGGTAAGAAAGCTGCCGGCAAGCATACTTTGAACTTACCATTGAGCAGGGTAAGATAGTTCCCATTAATAGAATTTTCATTAATATTAACAAACAAATATATTAGTACAGTACAGTTGTCCGGTTGGCGGCTACATGCTGTTCTCAGCCTTGACGAGTTATTTCTGAATCATCATATAATAAATGTAAAATAATAATAATAATAATAATATTAATAATAATAATAATATATTTTTTAATTTAAATATTGACATAAATACAATGAAAATAAATATATGCAGGCTAAATATTAGTTTCTAATCAGTTATCATCTATGTAAACGGTGATTATGATTTCCAGGATTTACATTATTCGTATTAGCAAGAAATGTCAGTCAATTGATTTGTGTTGATCTATGGGCCCAACATTTCAATCTCCCATGCCATTAGAGAGAATGTGTCTTTAAGAGTATACCAACTCGTGTATATAGAGGTAGTATGTTCTTATTCATTACCATCTCTCTTACAAAATTTAGGAGGAAGAGGTTGACGAAATCGTGGAAAATTTTTGGGAAGTACCTCGTGAGAGTATTGAAATCGTTACTACACTTGCAATGGGAAGCTTCGGTCCTGTGATGAAGGCCAAGGCCTGGGATCTTCTGAGCAGCCAAGGGGCATCACTGGTTGTTGTCAAGGAATTAGATTGTGAGTTAATTGTTTTTGTTTGCAAAATAGACTTTTAAACATTCCTATATAACAGCTTTCTTTCCCCAAACTTCCTATCATATTAACAAATTCAATGTCATTATGCTTTGTGTAGCGAACGCATCTCCAGCCACACGAAGCGCATTCGTAAGAGAGTTGGATGTGCTTAAGAAATTGGATACGCATTCGAATGTCATATCTTTACTTGGCTGTTGCACTATACTCGGTAAGTTTTCAAAAATAATTTATTATTATTATTTATGTTATTTTTTATTCATTGAATTTTACTGCCACAGGAAATATACTGTAGGTCTATTCTTGGGCAAAGGCGAAATGTCCCATAGGAAACCACATGGCCGAGCGATTAAGGCAGGGGCACCGCCTGTGGTTCTGTTGGTGGAACAAGGCTTCTCGGATAACGACCGTAAACCGTAGGCCCAGTGTACACAATTGGCTCATGTGCACTTTAAAGAACCCAATACATCTTTCGAGACGAGTAGGGAGTTACCCTGGTGTACTGGTCCATACAGCTCCTGTAACCCTGCGCTTACGAACCATAAGTTCCTTTGAAGGATGTAACTACTTAAAAGTAGAGATGTTTAGCTCAGTTTGAAACCCAACTTCGCTAATTCAATTATTTATGTCAAAGCACTATAACGTTGGAACACCGCTTCTCGTCAGATCACCGAAGTTAGGCAAACGTTAGACCCGAAAATACCAGGATGGGGACTATTTTTCAAATACATGCTTAAGTGAGCTGAGTATTTGATGGGGTACCTGCTACCTACATCAGTGGCACACGGTACACAAGCTCAATAATTAGTTTGATTCCAAATCTCCAGTTGATATTGAGCAATTTATGAAAGACCCCATCTTGCATTGGCTGTGATGGAGTAAATACATGTGGCTCAGTGATGGCGCCAGGACCTGCCCGACGGAGCGAATCGAGTCTCACTTGGCCGGATATTTGATGAATTATTGGGATTTTTATATTACTTATTTGATAGGCATCGAGTTACTATAATATGACTTCATGTAGGCTATGCTTTCTAAGGTTGAAATCAGCTTCCAAAACCAAAACTTTTGAATAAAACAAGAAACAAAGAGTATGCAATGTAACCATCTAATTTATTTTCAAATCCTCATTCTTGAAAGTGAAATTCTATATTTTGGAAATTTTGCATGAAATTTGTCAACGCTGTCATGGTGGAGTTGCTTCAACTATCACGATGTATTCCAACCATCATGAGGCTATCTAAATGAGCATTTGTCATAACAGAACGCAAATTATTTTTAATTAGTCTAATTGAATTATTATTATTATTATTTTGATTATTATTATTATTGTTGTTATTGTTATTGTTATTGTTATTGTTATTGTTATTGTGATGAAAAGTTAACACAAACAATATGGTGGCTAAACGAATATTACATGTAAATAATTTTTTTGTATTTGTTTGTTCCCTGACAAAAAGTATCGTCTTCCCCGACGGGGGGGGGGG